CTCCGGGGCAGGCGGGAATCGAACTCATGCGGAAGTGGCTTTAGCTTCTTAGTGCTGTGCTTTCACCTGCTGTGCCACCAGAGAGGGCCCTCCTTTGCCATTTCTTCTCTTTCTACCATTGTTCAGAAGCAAACAAGCAACCATCCATTTGGCCAACCACCATCAGTACAATAAAAATATTAATGAACAAGAAGAAAATCTCATATTGTTTTCATGGTCATCCGTTTTGTTATTTGGGTTCCCAAAGATTTCTGAACTCTCAGAATTCTAGCTTCTGCTCCAAAAGACTTGTCATTTTGGCTGTGTCATTTTGAAACAAACTTGCTCTAGCCTAAGGGAAATTGTTACCATTTGTTAAGATGTGTATTGTTATCTGGATATATTACAAATTATAATGCATGTGCTCAGAGAAAAGTTGGAAGTACAGTGGAGTCCAGTACTTGAATAGGGGGACTGGATGTAGGTGGAAAAGTAGGGAAGGAAAGTTTCGCTGAGAAAGACTAACATTTCTGAAGACTGTTAGCTAGGCACAAAGAGTGAGGAACAGCAATTCAAGACAGGGGACAGCATATGCAGAAGTCTGGAAATAGCAAGGGCTGGAAAAACCAAAAAAGAGGTCAGGATGGCAAAACCCTCAGGAGTAATAGCAGAATGAAAGGGATAGGGGTGGAAAGGGAAGCAGGCATCCGGTGACATGAAATCCTGTGGGCCACATGACTGCAATTTTTAGATTCCTGACTCTTCCCTAGCAAATAAAATGACTTCGTGAATCATTTTTTCTAAATGTCAAGTTTATTAATTTTCAAAACAGAAACAGTCATGTCAAAGTTGGCACACTTGTATAGACACAGATACCACGCACACACACTCACACTCACACACACATTACATAAAGCACCTTCCCCGAGGGCCACATAATTCAGTATTATTAAGAAGTCTATCCTATAGCCATACACGTGATTCTGGGTCAGCTGGGTAATTAGCTGAAAATTATCTTCATATTCCTTTTCTCTCACAGGAATGCTTCCTGCAGAATGACCCAGAATATGAGGGTTTTTGCAAGAGTTACAAAAAAATTATTGTCTGCCAGCAGCACATGAATTTTCGATCAGTTTTCAGGATTGTGTCTACCCAACTGACACGTTCACATCCCCTGAAGAGCAGCTGGCTTCTTACTCTGCCTCATGCCTATTATTGTCAAGTATGGCAGGACCAAGTCTAAGTTCTGTTTACCACCAGGGTAAACGGCTGTCCTATTGCATTCCTGTAGAAAGGCACAGTATTCTGGTCAGTAAGTCCCCATGTCTTCAGAAGTACTGAATATGACATGTGCCTGCATTATAGACATTGTGCCCACTGCTTCCTGCCAATGTTAATCTTGCCCTTCGCACTTCACACATCACAGTATATTTGTATGTTTGCGATGATGCTCATTCTGTCATTTTCTGGAAATAAAAGATTTTGTGTGCTCACCCAATTCTACCTACTCCAAACTACCCTACTTTTCTTTCCCACTCTTTCCTTTCCACTACTGATAGCCATGACTTTTTAGCTGATTTTTCATTGAAAGTAATAAATTAAGACATCCATCTTCCAAAGAATTGCCAGCACACCTACCAGCATGCACACAGTGCTAAGCATACAGGAATTCATTTCGGTAGCAACAATGTTCACTGGCTTTAGAAAGAAAACTTTCCACTTACAGTTACTTGTGTGTCTTACACAATTGCAACTTTCCGTGTATATATAATACTTTAAAATTAAGATACTTGGAGGAAGTGATCTCTTGGCTCTTCCTTGAAATGAAGCCATTGGCCCTTTGCTGAGATTGAGTTTGCTGCAGGTACTGCAACTACAGCCGGTCATCCTGCGAGTCAGTGCTGATGGTGGAAGCTTGGCTGCTGGTATCGGCAGTTTCATAGGACTTTTGGTCTTTGGCAAAGTTGATAAAAACCTGAATTTTCAAGGAAATAAAGTCATTAGCACTTGGTAGATCAAAGGAAGATATAAGGTTAATTCACATACACACACAACCAAGGGAAAAACAAGTAAAAACTAGATTGCACAATGGCATGACCATAAAAAAAAA